CACAGTGCAGCGCGACTGTGCCGCCCCGACAGTCCGTAATGATGAGGACTGTACCCTGCGTCGGCACCGTCCAGCGCTGCGATTACGATTGTCTTACCACATTCCCCTCATTCAGAAACTACAGAAATCAGAGGTCTGTTCTAGGCATTTTCTAGCTATTCTGCCTGTTTTTCCTTTACTACAAAGGCGACCAGCACTACAAGGGGGGCCAAAAAAAGTCACTTCGACCGAGTCACATATCAGCAAAGTTTTCGCTGCCCAGACAGAGGACGTGGATACGAGTACCAGGGCGGAAGATACCCAAGATGTTCCTCTATAAGCAGGAGCTGGCTCTCGCCCATCACCCCCCCAGTAGTACCCTTCAACCCATGATCTTTAATCACACACTGTGTTTTCAGGAACGTGAAATGGGCTTCTCATCCGTTCACTTATGAACTTCCTGTTCTTCGTAACGAAATGTGTCACAAATACGTTCATCAACGATTTGTCACCAAAAATCACTAATGATTAAGATCTCGAAAGATCTGCTCATAAATCAGGTGATATTTGGTGTACTGTACACTATATTTGTACACCCCACAGTTGTAAATTTGATAGCGTCAGCTTTAAAATGTAGAAAAACGTTTACAAATCAATCACATTTCATTTATTCACTGGAAACACGCTCATATTCGCTATCGAAGAATGATTTACAGCGAACATCACGTCAATTGACATTTATTAAACAGCGCGAAGAATAGTGGAGATGCGTCCTAATCAATAAAGCTGAGAATCAATCAATGAGAGTTTCTAGATCGATAACCGAATCATTTCATATACGAGTAACTAGTAAGACCGGGACAATGTACACATCACCTACATATGTCTACACCTACACCTAGAACAACCTTTTTTTGAAAATCTCAAAGGCAATTGGCATGATGAGTGAGGCGGGCGGTTGCTGCCAGCGTCAGTGGTGGAAGGGCGGAATGGGCGTGGCCAACGACGCCCTCTGGCAGCCTCTACACCAATAACATCGGCAGCAACCGCCCGCCCCCAGCCATCGTGCCCACTGCCTTTACCATTTCCGACAGAATCAGACGACGAGTGCACCCTACGTCTAGAACTAGGAACTATGCGTCTCTATACTCCACAACTGGTCTGGGTCGTTTGGCGCCATTACCCTGCTATTGATCTGTGACCTGGACACGCAACTCGTCCAGGTCACAAGGCAACTCGTCCAAGTCACAGAACTATTGGGCAAGCCCGTGTTAACTGCTTTGTATATGCAGTCGATCACGAAAATCCAGCAGATCAGTGACCCGGACGAGTTATCCTGCCCGAAAAGCGCGTCACTTGAACTGTTATGACTGGTTAATGGCCAAGCAATCGCGCCAAACGGCCGCCTCCCCTCTACAACTACTGAACTAATGAGAAGTTAATGGCAGTAAGTGAAAAATGGCAAGAATACCTACTTAAGAGTGTTTATCACTAGGCACATTACTGTTATTAAATTTCTATGATGTATGTACAGCGATTTAAACATTTCTAGTAGATAGTGAAGGTCCCCACGGGACATTTGAAGTTCATACCTCTGAAATAGAAGGGGCGTGGCTGCGTACTCCTTTGGAACTTAGCGGCGGCTGCAGATTAGGATGGTATTGACGTTTCGGAACAATTGTAATAATTTTCTTGTACTGCGCAAGATAGGATTGCAGTCGCGTCAAATGTAAACATCACATGAAAAGTGTCACGCCATGTTTAAATCAGTTACGCAGCCACGCCTTCTCCATATCGGAGGTATGAATTGCATGTGAGTTTGGGAGAGGATATGAGAAGATGGTTCTTACGCTGCACAAATTTGCCGCTCGCCCTATATCTACGAAATGTGGTGCAATTCCGCAAAATTTTTGCGCCATTTCACCGCGCGACGTAAGCGGCAACCTTGTGCGCCGCCCAACGAGACCCATTTTCTTGCACCTCCCAATAATGCCTAAATACTTTCATCGATGCTTCAGGTAACCGGCTGCAATTGCCTGCACAATAGTGTCCGGCACTTTCATCGATTGGTCCTGTACCAGTACTACATCGTACACGTCCATGTAGTGATCAAGAAGGTTTTGTACCTGCAAAGCATCATCTTTGTCTCTATTGAGCATCACATTTTAATCCTATGAAAAGCGGGAATAGGAGAAAGGAAAGCCTATTCAAAAAGGAAAGGGGCGGCGGAGTCAGCGCGATGGTGGAGAAACAACACTAGCCAGTTTGTATTGCAGATCCATAAGATGGAACTCAGCCCAGAACAACCTAGTAAAACTTCATTTTCTAAAAGACCAACCAACAGTTTCATTACCTTTCTTAGATAACAGTAATCCTTATACAGTCTGTGATAAGGTGCAGGCCAGAGATCAGAGTGCGGCGCACCCCCATCAAAGTAACTCGCACGCGCGGTATTTGCTTAACTAGTTTGACTCTGATATAGTCGCGTCAAATCAGTTTGTCCATAGTGCCGAATGCTGAGCAAGTCGACACCCGCTTACGGAACTGTTTTGGCTGTGCTGCCAGCAATAGATAGACCATCTATGGCGCCACAGGCCTCCAGATTTTACCGAGTTGCTCCACAAAAGCAGTAGATCGATGGTAGCAGTAAAATGCCCCCACCAGAGTGAACTGCGCAATGGAGCATTTCGACACTGTGACTTCACCACACGTTGCTGTTCTATTAGAAGTCTCGAGGGATAGTAGTAATAATTATGGGGCTATTTCTAAAAACTCACATCCGAGTTGAGAAAACCGAGTTTTAACGTTGGACCATCTTTTTCCACACCAACATCCATATGTATGTCGCCCATGCTGTCGCCAAGTAGGAGGACATTGGTCCTTAAATAAAGCAATTACGATCTGTCGTAGGCCAAATTGAAAGTACAACCACAATCCCCTGCTAGCGTAGATTGTAGGGCATGTGACGGGACATGCACTGGAGGACTGCCAGGGCGGCCTTTCTCACCAATGATGTCATCCTGAGTCCGCAGCAATTGCCAGAAAAGGCTGCTTTGGTTGCGCTCAATTCACGCCCCTTCACATGCCCTCTCGTTGCAGGGATCATGTCTGTAGATGAAATGCCTTTTTTACATTTTCATGATACGAAACAAAATTACAGCACTTTTTGTGGAGTTACCTTACATATAGAACCATCCAGGTTCAAGGCAGTGAGCTTAAAGGCAGTTGGCCACGATAAATTCCCCTAGACGAGTAGGATTAATACGCCCAGGAGGACGGAATTCCGCGACCCTGTGCCGGCGCCGCATAGCGTCTTTTCCGAGGAAGGTGCGCTTATAAAGGCCCTATCAAGCCACAACTTTACGTCCCAAACGCCTCCCTCGCCCGCCCGCCCACAAATGGACGACTCTTCTTGAGGCTCGCATTCGTTTATTTGCCAAGCAAATTGCGAAGCGAAGGTGTTGGTATGAAGCGCCCGTGATGCTGCATGGATTATTACATATGCCAGCCGTGCTTCGGTAGCGGGGACTGGCGCGATATGCGTTGCGAAACTCGTCCAAAATCGATTCTCAAGTGACTGAGAAAGGAGGGTCTTTCTTATTTCGATTTCGACCGTTTCACTCCGTTCTTTCGCCATTTTTCCACTATATAGCTCCCTACTAGCAATCCTGGGCCGACCACAAAATCATTGTGCCAAACTGCCTTTAATGGCTAAGGTTCGACGTGAGGGTGGCGTTTACTGCAACCGTCACTTGATGGAAGGGGCCAGGGTGGGATTCGTGGCCTAAGTCCTCTCCTTAGTCTTCTACCTCTCCACCAATGGTATTGGCAGTAACCGCCTTCTCCTAACCTCTTCGGCGCCACTGCATTTTGACAAAAAAGTTCCCAAAAACAGCAACTGACCTCCCACTGACGTCATGGAAAAAGCCGGCTTCCTTGCGGATGACGGACGAATTCTTGCAGAACGTGTGTATCAACGTGATAGAGATGACACAAACCACGACCCTAATAATAAAATGTAGAATTTTTCTTTTGAAAATAACTGTGGCCGAATTTCACGAGTAGAAAGCCATATGTGTGTAGAGACACAGGCTCCTCCGCGACTATATAAGGAACGTAACAATTTGACTGAGAAAAGGCGCGGGAACCGATGGGCCGTATTTGTTCGCTGGGAGAGAGGGGGATCGTTTTTGTGTCGGGAAAGGATCTCTTTCATATTGTGTCCCTTCCTCCTATCTTTCTTAGTTGACGTTTCGTGGCAAAATTACAATTTCCGATAGTAGGTGGGAATTTGGGTCACCTCGCCTCTCCCTGACTAGGCAGCGTTTAGGAAGCTATTGAGTATGTTGTAGAGTGGGTGTGGAGTGGAAATTAGTGGAGGGGAGGGGGGGGGGATAAGCGCAGACACCACCACTTTCACTACTGGCCCGATGCCATGCGTGGTTGGGGGGGGGGTGCCACGCAGCTAGCGAGTAAACATATCGCTGACCCATGTCCTGTCGCTCAACAGAGCTGTGAGGTGTAGTCGTTTCGCTGCAGGCGCTGGACGTATCAGGGCGGCTGAATGCGGCGCGGCGCCTGTCTGTCTTCACCAAATGTTGTCGCTTGTCCGCTCCGCTTCATGCTTCCTGACACGCCCCATCATCTGCAGCAAAAAATGCTGCATATTCGCAGGCAAGCCATGGCATAGTCTGCCGCCGCGTAGCATCCACAAACTATCCTTCCCTCGACTATTGTGCCTTCTTCATTAGTGCCCCTTCCCTGTCATCTAAACAGGGAGTGGTTGACTCTCCCCGCCTCTATGGCAGAGACGGAATATGCCTTGAAGTACCGCATGAATATGCAAATTTCCAGCAATGAGTGGCGTAAAGTGCTTGACGTCATACCCCTTCTAACGCGGAGATACGGCCCCAAACAATGATCGTGGGCGCTTTTTCCTACTTATTCTTCGAAGGAAATATTCACGTACTTTGTCATCGAAATTCATCATATTTGATATTATGTGTATGTTTGATGGAATTTGGCCCAATCGTTGCTCCAAATACATCTCGATGATATTTCCAATACCAGCAGAGAACACGACCAGAGGAACACCAAGTTGATTCAGACGCGTCATCATCTGATCTGCTTGGTCCCTGAAATTTCGCAATCATAGT